GTCAACAGAAGTAGTCATTCAACCCACGTTTGAGGACTCAGTCTTCCTTTGCCTGAAGGGTACATCCCCAGAGACAGGTGCCCTACAGGGCGACTGCCAATTGTCCTATAGACCTACTCCTAAAACCTCTCATTATTGAGACTTATAATCAGACTCAAATCCCAGGAGGTGCTGGAGGTTGGGCACAAAATGTGACCTGTGCTGACATGCAACATATATGAAAAGATCTGCAAGATCTGGCCAATTTATGTTAACATAAAGCTGGGAAATACGTATCTCAGAGTCCTTTTCCCTGTATGTTTCTGTACTAGAGTTGGGAAGAAGAGAAATATGTGTCACATTCAGAAGACAGAAAAAAGGCAGCTACTGTTATGCCTTGCAGGTTGGGGTGATCTAAGGTAATAAGAGGTAGGATGCAGAGGGCTGACAAGTTTAATCTGTCCTCACTCCTCTCTCTCCCTATATCCATGTCACTGTCCCTACTCCACATCCAGCTAGCTGGTCTTCTCAACTGCCAGGCCTGCTGACCAACAGCAACCTCAGGCCCATTAGAAATTCAACTAACACCTGGCAGACATGGTAGCTATATGCTCTGGCTTCTGAGTCTACCTTTTCAGTGTCATACCAAAAGCTAAGTATTACCTATTTTTTATATATGCATGATAAATCCATGAAGAACAGCTTTATACTATATATTTTCATTTTTTCATTTTTACATGCCCTTTAATGACCATTTGTAAGTTTTGTAAAAATAAGCATGCAGTTTAAAACATTTCAGGAAATCCTTTCTATTCTGGAACACTCTAAATTCCCTGGGGGAAAACAAGTAAGAATAAAGAATTAAAAAAAGAAAACTTACATCATTAGATTGAAACAATCGAGTCATTGCAAAGAAGGCTTCCGTAGCTTCCATAGTTCCAAAGTGTTCACCCTAAGTAAAATTTGAAACAATTTTTTAAACATAAAAATTCAGATGTTAAGGACTTTCTCTTTATTTCTGCATAAATCTTTTAGAATTCAAGGGGAAAAAAGTCTCTTTGTGAACATTCTGCTTCTTGTAATTTTCTGGCTTTCAATTTATAAACCTGCATAGCCAATGATGCATACCTTATTTAAAATAATTCAGTATTATACAGCACACATAAAAGTTATGGAACAATGCTAAGCTTTTAACAGAAAGTATTTTGAGTTCCCTGAAGGATTTACAAGGAGACAGAATTATGATGCAAGTAAAGTTTCTAAAGAGTAAAATCTCTAAACACTGCCCAACAGCAGAGATCATACCTTGTATATTTCCATAGTCTAATGCCCAGCAAATGCCTGACATATCATAGGAGCATAATAAATATGGAACTATAAGAACTGTCTATGAGGAATCCCAGAAAATATGGCAAAATGGGGTCTAATCAAAAGGGAATGATCCAAATTCACCATGTTAATACGGCTTAAGGGGCTGCTATAGATCCCAAGACACTGGCCCAAACCTTTAAAAATATGATTTGGATCAGAGCTTCACAAACTTTAACCTAGATAAATCATTTGTGGATCTTGCTCAAATGCAGATTCTAATTCACTGGAACCCTACTGTTTTGTTTTGTTTTTTGTACCAGGGATGGAACTGGGGACCTTGTGCTTGCGAGGCAGGCGGTGGAACCAGAGCTAAATCCTGGCCCTGGAACCCTTTTTGACTTGAAGCTCAGAGAACACATGGCTTTGTTAACTTTAGTGGAAATCTAAAAGTATTTTGCCATAAAGATCCAACAAAAAACAGGGAAAGAGATAAAGCAGATGTTCCCAAACCTGTTCATGTGGTTAATTATGTTTATACTGTGCTTGATAATTTCCTTATCAAGTTAATTGTTTCAATATGAATTGCCCCATGTAAAAGATATTGGCCAATATAAAAGAATATGCTATTTTGAATCAACTTTGACTCTGTTTATAAAATGTATTTAGCCAATTTGGACATAATGTGTGCTAGGAAAAATTAAGTTAAACTAACTGTGGCTTAAGTATTTATAATGTGCTGCCACAGAGGGACTATGCTATTTGTAAACAAATATATTTTATTTAAAACTATATTCTTGTTGCTTAGTCTCAATCTGCAAACAACAAAGTTATTAAATCTCTGAATGAGACCTTCATTTATAAAACAGTAAAAATAAAGCATTCTCTTAGAATTCAAATTGCACATTATATTCTTTTTAGCAGCTTATGATCTATGAAACAAAAGTATATTGTTTAAGCCTCTATAAATTGCATGAGATATTTTACAGTGTGAAACAAGAAAAAAAAGAAGTAACAATGATAGAGTGCAGAATTTACATTCGATGGCAAGTATTGTTTTTGGTTTTGTCTGCTATATCCCAATGCCCACAACAGTGCACAAGACACAACAGGAATGCGATAAATACTTGCTGAGTAACTACATGACAGCTGGTCCTGAATGTTTATCATGTGTCTAGCACTATTCTCAATGCTTTACGTTTATTATTTCATTTAATCATTACAACTTTGTAAAAAAGATATTACCATAATCCTCATTATAGAACAGGACATTAAGGCCCATAATGGTTAAATAACTTGCCCAAAATCATATTGCCAGTAATATTGAAATAGGGATAATAAACACAAAATCTGAATATTAAGTTTTAAAACCTCACTACTGTACAAAAAAAAATCTGAAATTTGTCTGACTTTGCACTACATTTTCAGATAACCATGAAGACCCCCAAAAAAATACAAAAATATGGTCTAATTAAGACTTATTAAACTGACATCAATATATTTATTGAGAATCTATTCTATGCTTAAATAGTTTAATATCTCATGAATATAAAAAGAAACATGTCATACTCCTTTTGCTCTGAGTTTTGCATATTATTTCAATCAAACTTGAGGATTTTAAAGTTCAGTAAATTTCTTTAAAATTATTATACTTTCTAGAAAACACTTCACTGTATGTTACATACTTCTATTCTGTGACACAAATCTCAGGAAAATCAAAATAATTTACCTGGTTCAGTAAGTAAAGAATCTTTGTAAGAATATGCAAACATCTTCTTGGATTGATGGGAGTTTCATTGAATATACGAGCCTATGAAAACATTAAAAACATTATGTTTCATATAATGAATTTGCTATCACAAATTACTTTAATACTGTATTTAATATAATCTCAAAAATCTCTATAGCCCTCACTTTACTATGATATATGACAAATTGTTAGATGTGGCCTTGATTTTCTAATGTATACCTTCCCTTAGTTTAACCAACTCATGGCCTTCTACTATATGGACTTTATGTTAAACAACAGTCACAATATTTATCAAATGAATACAATGAGGTTAATTTCCCAACACATAGCAGAACCTGCATTTCTGTAAGCTCTAGATTCTCCTGTGACATGTAAATTCTCCTTTTTCCTCAAGTCTCTATTTTCTGAACTCAGTTACATTTCTTAATTATTATTTTGGATGTCCTGATCATAGTATCCCAAAGGCTCTATGCACACCATTCTAAAAAAGAATAGAAAAAAAAAAAGAGAGCACAATTTACTTCCAAGCCATACCTCCTGTAAGACAGCACTCTTCTCCAGATGCTGGAAAGGATTGGAGCCACTACCTATAGCATAAAACAAAACAAGTCTTCAGTAGCTGCTCTACCATTAATTTTTAGAGAAGGGCACTAAATGTTTGGGAAATCTAAAAATGAGGTGATCACTTAGCTATTACAGTGATACTAATTACTAATATGCATATAAACCGAATGAAGTCATTTTGATTCTGATACAAGTCCTGTCGTCATACTGTAAGAGCTTGGATCTCTTTTACAGGAACCGTGCCCCAAATTCGTGTCTTCACCAGCCCCCACGAATGTTACAAATGTCATTTCCATACAACGAAGATTAATGAGATTATGGTACGGCCCTTTTAACTAAAAGCCCTATTTTATGTTTCTAAGATCTACTGAGAGGCACAGATGAAGAGTTTCACAGAGAATCACATGAACGTAAAGCTGGATGAGGCCATGGGGGTTAACTAACCTAACCCTCTACCACGCTTGGCAGCTTTCAAACATTGGGAATTCTTTTTCTTTTGGGGGTGGCTTGGCATCTTCCTCATCTGCTCGCTCGAAAGTCACTTCTGGATGTATGAGCATTCGAAGAGCTATGTCCTATGGGACAGTTGGCCCCTGGGAACAAGTCACATTCGAGGGCCACCAAGAAGATTGGAAGGTACAAGACACCTTCACGTCCATATATACGCACTCGCTGCTCCGTGGACCCCAGCCCCGGATAAGAGGATGTGCACTCGAGGCCTAAAATCACCAGTACCCGGGGCTACAGAGGCCGGCACAGCCGAGTTCCAAAGGGGCTGCAGACCCGCCGGAGGGCGGTTCAGAGTGGCTCAGCCAAG